AAAAAAAAATTGAAAATCGTGAGGGGGTTGGTAAAGTGCATTTGTTCCGAAACTGATATTGTTTATTTGTTTATTAATATATGTAGAAAAAAAAATCAAAATTTGTTATTGATGTTGTGCGCAGGAGTATAAATGTAAAATCGCAAACTTTGTAGGTTATAACTTCCAAATAATAGTTTCTGCAATTTTTTTTTGTACCAGCGTTCTTAACTCTTTGAAATACATATGATTCGATAAAAAAAAAATAATAATAATAAACATGCTGAGTAACTAAAGTGAATTCAAATTGAAGACTTRCATACTTAAAGTAACTCACTTAAGGCTAAATATTTCGAAATTGTTAAAATATGATATAGAAAATACAAGACATCTAATGTGTAGGTAGGTATACATTAGGGATTCCACAGTAAATTAACAAATTATTAAAGGACGATTGTGGAAAAAAAACATAACGAAAAAAGTTCTCTAGATTATTAATTTAATTTTGTATTTCTTGCATTACCAACCCTTCCTCCATAGAACTTTTTTTGTTATATTTTATTCCACGACTGAGTAATTAACTTTTCTTTTTTTTGGTCTCAAATAGTTTTTGTTTATTTATATTCTTATTTTCTTTAATACATTATTATATATTTTATAAATTATAATTAAAATTTAAAGTATACAAAATAATAACTAATAAGTATAAAGCCTACACGATGCCACGATGGAATATGCATAGGCAACTAGGGTCAATTTTTTTTTTTTTGGGGGGGGGGCTAAAATTGTTTATGTCACACTAACCCGCACCCCCAAAAGCTTATAAGCCGATGAATGGCTACTGACAAATAGATAAATACACAAAAAAATTCATATGATATTACAATATTTTAATGTTAATATTCAATAAAATACTTATAGCTTTAATATAGCCGCGCCAAATTTATCAATAATTGTTTTTGTCTCCAAACTATTTGTTAGATCACTTTCAATATTAATTATTGATAAATTTGAAAATCGCTCTTGTGTCATTGTCATCCTCTGCCAAGTTTTTAATTAATAATAATTTCAGGTTTTTTTTGATTAAAATAAAAATTTGCCAATTTTATTTCTATGACGACTAAAAAATTCGTAAGTCATGGCTCTATTTGGGGAAGCTACAAAAATATGTGGGGCGGGCTAAGCCCCCTCCAGCCCCACCTAATTGCGCCTATGGGAATATGGAAGATGGATGATTAATTCATTATTTGAAATTTTTTAATWAATAAACAAATTTTTATAAAGGATGTTAATAAAATGTGATTTTACTTATAGCAAATGTGAAACCTTTTGAAGTTTTGATTAATCGAGTAGACGAACGACGAACACTGTTCGACTCTTCTGTCGAGGCGCTCACTCGCTCAGTGCCTGAGCCTCACTGGTTAWTGGTTAATTAATAATTTCTTAGCCATGATCACTAATAACCATAGACCACGATTAAAGATATATCTTTAATCGTGCCATAGACCTATCAACTTAGTTTATATTATTTTTTATTTTTTATTTATTTATTTTTTTTATTGTTTTTTTATTTTTTATTTATCTGTGTTTATAGGTCTATGCTAATAATACAGAACAATAATTGGTATGATATGTGGTATAGTGATTGGCTACACTGTAAATTTTGCTTATCCACAAACTTCATAACCTCAATTTTGCCACTGTTGACGGCCTTCTCTTTCGTGTTTCAATTTTCCACTTTAGTGTTTTGGAACAATCTAAATAACATTTATTTAGTTTATTCATTTAAATTACTCTCTTAAGTTTTCCATCAGGTACCTTAACATCATACAAAATGACTGCTGACAAGAAAGTTAAAGTAAAGAAACCCAAGGTAATATATGTAGATTTTGGTTGTTACCTTAAATCTCCAAATTAAATTAAGAACTATACACACGTGTAATGTGTACTATTAATGCTCTTTTAATGGTGCTTTCCATCTTGAAATTAATCTAATAATTCCAAATTCATTTTACATTTATTTGCAGGTGAAGAAAACGCCAATTCAAAGTGTACAAGTGTTCGGCCGTAAGGTGTGTATTCATAATTTGTGAAATTAATATTGAGTTTAATATTCTTGTGATGTAGGTAATACTCGTAATAACGATAATTGTAATTTTTGATTTGTTTAGTAATAKTTTTTTTAATGAGAGCAGATTTTAATCCCTTTATATATTTTTCTACTAACTCTTGATATTAATGATAAATTAATTTTAATGTMTTGTGCTATGAACTAAGTACTTTTTTATTCTTTATCATTAAGTGATAAGTTCATGTATATGTTAACCATTTTGTTAGGTCACTAATGATTTTTAGAAAAATCAGGGTGTATTTTCAATCCAGCCTAGACATGTATAAATATAAATTTTTAAACATTATTCCTGTGTAAATATAGGTAATAGTATTAACTATAATAGTAAATATAATATAACTTCTAAAAATTATGTAGATTTTAAGACAAGGTGTGCTCAATATTGATAGGCAGAAAATTAAATTAATTTTTTGCACTTCACWGACAAATTGGTTTGATGGATACTAAGATGTAATAACTATACTTTGGTGTATGGTGTACCAAAAACCTTTTTGTTTTGTTGGAGTTGGAGATCATTGCAATTTACACTRTCCCAGATTATAGTTTTGAATAAATAGCATCACTATTTATATGAATAAGATTTACTGTAGTATTTATAGTTGTAATTTTTGTTAGATATACAAAATAATGTAATTTTAATATTTTTTTTAATTTTTGATATATTTTTCTGTTTACAACTTATAACTGTTTTTTTATATTCTAAAGTCTTGGTAGTACAAAATTTATTCGTATACTATAAGCTATAGTTGCAAAGAAAATTACACTCCAGTAATTTGGCTTGTTGACTATTGTATTTGTAATGTAATGACTAGGTATTGAGTTTGAAATTGCTTTTAACTCATTTTCTCCACCATTTCAATTGACAGTGTAATGCTTTGAACCATATGTTACAGTAATTCTTATTTTTTATTTGATTTTAAGCATTTTTAAAAACTAATGGATGATACCTAGTAAATGTCTTGAATAAACACATTCTATGTTTTTATTGTTTATAGAAAACGGCTACAGCTGTGGCTTATTGCAAAAGTGGTACTGGTAACATCAGAGTAAATGGCCGTCCGTTAGATATGGTTGAACCCAGAGTTCTTCAATACAAAATTCAAGAACCCATTTTATTATTGGGAAAAGTAAGTACTTTAAATCTAATTTAGAATCTTTATATTGACACTATTGTAATTATATGGTGTAATTTTAAAATTACCTTTTTAGGATCGTTTTAATGAAGTTGATATGAGRGTTCGTGTCAACGGTGGTGGACATGTTGCTCAGATTTATGCTATCAGACAAGCTATTTCAAAAGCCTTGGTTTCATACTATCAAAAATGTAAATTGAAAATCACATATATTAAATGTTTATTATGGTAAAAAATATTCTGATATCTTTTTTTAATAGATGTTGATGAAGCTAGCAAGAAAGAAATTAAAGACATATTAATTCAGTATGATAGAACCTTACTGGTTGCTGATCCAAGACGTTGTGAACCAAAGAAGTTTGGAGGTCCTGGAGCTCGCGCCAGATACCAAAAATCATACCGTTAATTTTTTTTTTTATATATATACATGTATATTGACAATATATGTAAACTGAAAACAATATTGTTTTTTCGATATCATAAAACTAGTTTGTGTGAACTCCTTTATGATTTATCTCCTACATAATGTTGAACAAGTCTTTTTAAGAGTATTTCAGCACACTATGTTTTTCTCTTTAATAATGCACATCATAGCAAAATTATGTTTGGAGGAATTAATTGTGTCATTACATTTTAGATTAAAGTAAATTCACTTTTTATAAAATTTGTTTAKAAAGTTAAKAACATGACTTGTGTCCCTACATTGGCTATGTTATGATATTTTAAGTTTTATATAAGTTATAATCTGGTTGCCTACCCAGGTCAGTAGGATGGTGATTGTCATTTGAGCCCCCTTCAAATTTGTTGATAAAATATGTTTCCTCACATCCTATTTGTACCTAGATAAAGGAGCCSTTTTAAAAATTAATAATGAAGTCAATTCACTTATTAAAAATAACAATGCAGGTTTGGTTTCTAAATGTAAATTTTTTATGTTGTGCGTGGGTTAGAGAGAAAATAAAATGGTCTGCTTAATTAACTGTTTATTGATCAATTTCAAAGTTTACAAATTGACCATAAAAGTCCTAACCAATTGTATTTGTTTTAATTTATAACACATATTTCATGGCAAATAATAKATCAAGAAGCTTGTTCTGTGGTATTGCAAGCAATATACATAAATGAGTCTGTACAACTTGGCTAAGTTACAGTGCAGCTTTTGTTGTATGTATACATTTTATTCTAAGATGATGTATTTATTTAAATATTGTATTGACATTCAATGATTATTAGGGTTTAATGATAATAATTTTTATTAATTAGAAAAACTAAAATTTGGGAGCACTATATAGTGATTAAAATAAAAATATGATAACCAGGGCTGAGGACTTCTAGTTTTTTCATATTTTTTTAGAAATATAGAAAATGTTTAGTGATTGACTGATGTGTTTCCTAACATCAGAACAAATTTAAAATTTTATTTCGCATATTTTGTTATTGCATATAATTTCATATCTCAATGTATTAGAAAAATTCACAATATATTTGGCGATTTTTGAAATAAATTCYTAAATTAGCTTAGATAAAAAAGAATAAAATGGTAAATTTTCCATTTAAAAATAATAACTTCATTGTCAGTTAGGTAATTTAATATCTGACCAATAAACTGATAACGATAGACGATGTTTAAGCAAAAAATAATGGCTATAAAACATTAAATACAATTTCAAAAATATTGAGTGAAGAAATTACATCTATGGATGGCTTACCCGAAGACTTAAAAGCAAATGAATTGTTATTTTTTAAAT